AATGTTTGAGAGAGACAAAATTGTGTTGTTTGAGATATCGACTATTATCGACGCCCCGATGAAATGGGACTGCACAAACCCGCAAGAATTCTATTTCAGAAGGTGTTCGTACCATTCGGCTACTGATATGAACATCCCTTTCATTCCGATTTCATCGCCATCAACATCAATGCCATACCCTTCATCATTCCCAGACTCCTTCTTCATCAAGCTGCAAATCACGAAGGCAGTGACTGACTTCTGTCAACTCTCCAAACAAGTCACAACACTGCAAATATCACATAACTATAAGCCATCAATGGTAATAGAAAGATTCTTGAAAACAGTACAGAGAGTCAGAACAGACTTTGAAGTTAACAATAAGATCTTTTACTTGAAGACGGTCGGGTACGACGAATACTTCTTCGACGACGTCCCAATCGGGAATTATAATTACATTCGAGAAATGTTGCGTCTCTCGAAGCCAATCAAAGTGATGTTGGTTCTTGAGGCTGGGGATTTTGAGAAGAAGCTCGCGATCAGACAAAAAAGCGAAGAGTTGGAGAAGAATTGGGAGTTCGACCCATTGCCTATTGAGCTGCCGAATTTGGACACCATTCAGCCGCACTTTGTCATCAAAAAGAAGTTTGGGATCTTCCTTGAGTCCATTGAAATGTCTAACGAGGTATTCCAGAGCAACACGAATTATGTCGTGTTGCTTGAAATATGTTTTGGTGGTGCCGTGTTGTGGACTGGACGGTCTCCTATGGTCTGTCATGTATCAAACGACTCACTGAAGTACAAACAAATTCTCTTAAAGACTTGGGTTATGTTTGACGAGTGCCAGGTCTGCCGCATACCAAAGGAAGCATTACTTGTATTCAAAATAATGGAAGTGGACAAGAACGCGAAGATTAAGAGGGGCTTTTCGAACAAGGATAACTGCCCACAATGTCACTTACCAGCATTCAATACAAAAGGAAGAGGCCCGTCGTTCTTTTGTAGTTGTGGGCTTGATTTGTCTCAAGAAGTCATTGAGAGTGAAAGTAATATGATGACGATAATTGGGTGGACAGACATTTATCTCTTTGATTATAGAAAGCTGATGATATCAGGAAACTATAACTTGGCTGTGATGCTGCCGCCAGTCATTCCAATTGGTATACCAGTCACCGAGTTTGGCAATTTGAACCAATTGAATGGGAAGATCTCATTTTCTATGCCACTTGGCCCAACAATCAAATTTGATAATATCAAAGAGGAGGAAACTCTTCAAAACACATTAACTGAAGACGAAAAGAAGAAGATCAATGTCTCAATTTTAACGACAAATCTCCTCAAAGAACTCACTGAAGAAGACAAAAAACTCATTTGGAAAGGAAGGTGTTTTATTCTCGAGGAAGAAAGTCTTCACCAACACCCAAGTTCAATTGTTTTGTTGTGCCAAAGTGTCCCTTGGAAGGAGCCTAAAGAAGTTTCGATATTTGAGGAAATCATTAAAAAGTGGCCGAAAGTGACACACATCATTGCGATGAGGCTATTACATTTCTCATTTGCAAACACCTTCATTCGACAATACGCCGTGAGGTGTTTAATGGAATGCTCGGACGAACACTTGTCGACTATTATGATGCAACTCATTCAATCACTCAAATTCGAAGCAACGCCACTCTCAGATCTTGCAATTTTCTTAATCCACAGAGCTCTGAACAAACGTTCGACAATTGGACGTATCTTTTTCTGGTTAATTAAAAGTGAGTTGCACATCCCTGAAACACAGAGACGATTTGCTTTGTTGTTGGAGGCGTATTTGATGGTGTGTGGCGACCAACGTGTCTCAATAAAGAATCAAATTGACTTGTGCAAGAAGTTAACATCACTGTACACACAACAAAATCAAAATTGGAAGACCGACCAGAACCAATTGATTAGGGAGTTGGACAGCATCAACCTCCCAAAAGTTGTTTACGTCCCGTTCAAACCGTCTCTCAAATTCACAAAAATCGTCTCGCTGAAGTGTAAAGTGCTCGACTCACTAAGAAAGCCATTGTTCCTCACGTTTGAAAATGAAGACCCTGTTGGTGACCCCATTTACATCATCTTTAAAAAAGATGACGACTTAAGACAAGACATGTTTGCTTTGAAAGTGCTTGAAGTGATGAATCAGATGTGGCAAAATGAAGGATATGATATGAGACTCACATGTTATGAATGCTTGGCTATGGGAAATGCAGTTGGAATGATCGAAGTAGTACTGCGCTCTGAAACTATTGCTGCCATTCAAAAGAAAATGTATGGAGGGAATGTGAGTGCGGCTTTCCAAGAGGACCCACTCTTTAGGTGGCTGAAAGAGAAGAATCCCGGGAAAGAAGAGATGAGCAACGCACAACAAAATTTTATATTTTCATGTGCTGGATATTGTGTGGCAACGTATGTACTTGGTGTTGGTGACCGACATAACGACAACATTCTCCTCACTCCGACAGGCCATTTGGTTCATATTGACTTTGGTCACATTCTTGGGAACGTTGAAAAGTTCAAGGGCTTCAAACGGGAGACAGCGCCGTTTGTGTTGACCAAAGAGTTTGTGTATGTTATGGGGGGTAAAAATTCCGACGGGTTTAAGTTGTTTGTCAGTCTCTGTTGTGACACATTCCTCATCTTGAGAAAGAATTTCCATGGTCTGATCAACTTATTTACAATGGTTTGTTGTGTACCTTTTCTTTGTTTTGTTAACGAATTCACAAGAAGATGCTGTCGACTGGATTGCCAGAGTTGAGGAGAACAGACGATATGGAGTATTTGTTGAACAGTTTGGTGCTTGATCGATCAGAAGCGGATGCAAGAGCGTACTTTGAGAAGTTGATCAATGTGGCACTCGAGGCGTTGATGACAAGAGTTAATAATGCGATTCACATTTTCGCACATCCGGACGTCAAGGAAGATGTGTAATGTATACGATTATTCAAGTGTTTTTGAAAGTTGTGAATAACAAAATCTGTTTTTGTTATTGTTTTTGAAAGCAATTTTTTGGTATAATTTCAACACAAATGAGTTCTTTGTTTACCAATTCCCTTCTTTTTTATATCAACAATGTTACATGGAAATAACCCCCTGTGTAGCAGGTAAACTCCACAAATTTAATTGTTTATTGTTCTGCACACCAGAAAAATTGGGTTGCCGAACGAAAAAACGGACTGGAACTAAAAATGAAAGGAACGCGTTCTAATATCAAGATTGAGCCAACCCTCCCGACTTGTTCTATGGAATTATGCAGATGTAAGGCGAGTTTATAAGGAAGAACGACACTCACAAATAGACGAGTTTGGTGTTGTTGAAAAACAAACACTATCTGAGAATGAAAGGTTTCTTTAACTAAAACATATAATAACCGAAATCTTATAATTTCGATTCGACTTATTTTGCTTCTCACCACCAGTGCGCATTCGCCCATCAATGGCATTTTTAAAAAGTAAAACAATATATAGAAATAAGAAAGAAGAGTTTTCTTATTCAACAGAGCCGATTCAAATTAGAAAAAAATGAAAATGCATTGCTAAAAACATAAACGGAAACCATAGCACCAATAAAGTTCTTTGTAGTTACTCAAACAAGGATTCTTTCTTCAAAAATCTTTAAGAAACTATAAAACTGTAAAATGTATTCAGATCACATATATGACAGATGACCAAGAGAGTTTGCACGTTTCCGTCGAGAGTTTAAGGCCAAGTCTCTTTGAGGGATGGGCTAAAAAACAGGGTGGAGCTGTCAAGACGTGGAAAAAGAGATGGTTTGTGTTGAAAGAGAATAGGTTGTGGTACTTTGCGTCCAAAACAGCAACTTCTGCAAAAGGGTTTATAGAGTTACTTCCAGGAACGGAGACTCGAGATGTCACTGAGAATAAAAAGTTCATGTTTTCGATCAACTCGAGGAATTTAAAGTTTGTTGGATTTATTGTAATAAGTTCTTAATGAAGTTGGTGTACTGATGCACAGAGGTCCACGCGTTTTTTTCATCGTCACTGAAAATTCGGTCGACCACGAGTCCTTTTTTGACGCCGTTCGTAAAGTCCTTGTGAAAAGCTCACCACCAAAACCTGTTGCGGCACAAAGCAATACCGAAATTTCTGCTCCTAAACCAGTCCAAAGTTCAACACTCGTCACACAAGCACCAGCACCAACACAAAATATGGCAACACAACAACCAAGTACATCAGCTGTGTCAATTCAAGGCGCGTTACAAGCAAAGTGCGACGGAAGAAAAAATATTGCGAAAGTTAAGGCTAAGATCCCATGGCTTCAGGCAGAAGGAGAGAACGTTGTCGAGTTTTGGAAATATTGGATGGACTCGACCCCTCAACCAGACGCACTTGAACCAGGACAATCGATTCAATATATGCTTGTTGTGTCGGGAAACACCGACAAATTGTCGTGGCGTGTGTATGGTCCACAAGGCGCATTGATTCAAAGTATGGTCGACTTCTTCTGGAATGTTGGTGCGCCAGACGAAGAGATCGACCACTTAAATAACTTGGGGTGCCAAATAAACCCTAGCGAAATTGGGTCGTGGATTGACATGAGTGTGATGAATGGAATGGATGGAGGGTGGTTCTTCAAAGGTGAGTTGTCGTGTGATATCATTCGAGACACGGCTGACAAATGTGAGCATTCTGAAAAATTGATCAATTGGGCGAAGGAACAAGGCCTCAGTTATATGTGTCAAATGGGAAGAGATATGGGTGCTACACCACCACGTCAATCAGAGTTCAGATTCAAATTGGACGGTACTGTTGTGATTCGGATGGAAAAGATCAACTCGGCGTTCTCAACATTTGGATTTCCACCTATTGCGACAAACATATCAGATATTTTAAGTAATCTCCCACCCGTCTACACATACTTCTACTTGTGTGTCATCGTCTCAAGCGATGGCTTTGTAAAAATCAGTGTGTTGGTGCCATCACCGAAGCAAGACTTGATCGACCAATTTTTGGGAAGCATGGGTGACGTTAAAGATACCCATATTGCTCTTCATAACGACATTATGAGTACACTTGGAACAACACCGTTGTTTGTCGAGTATACATTCTTGAACCAAGGGTATGGGTATGAGGTCTACAAGGAGGGAGCAGACGTACTTGTTCACTACAACCTCGGCACGGAGTCAAGATAAACAAATTGAATACCCAATTTCTTACGTCTAGTATTTAAACCAAATTTCTTTCTTCTTGTTATTGATTACTAGAAGGATAATAATAATATGCATATTTGGGAATATATTCCTCCTAATATTGCATTATTAAATTTCTTTGCAATAAAAAGAAACTCGAACTTGAAACACTCAAAAAGGGATGGAAAAGAAGGTGTACAGCTGTAAGGCCTTTTCTGAAATGTATAACAATCTGTATGTAGAAGTGAAAAAGAAGAAAAAGACGGAGACGCTGATGTTGGATATGGTCAAAAACGCGACGGGAATTAAGGGGATGAAAGAGGACCAATTTCTTGAGGACGTTAAACAGAATCAAGCAAAGTACTTTGACCCATTATTAAAAGCGATTGAAAGTAATGTCACTAAATGTTGTTCGTTGGCGTTGGAGATGCTCACTATGTTTTTTGAAACCGACACATTTAGCTCGCAATGGTTCTGTCGGGTGATGAAATGTTTGAACAAAATGGAAACGAACGACGAACTTTGCACAAAAATAGTTATAATGCTGTCTTTGGTCTTTTCAACACCGAAACTTGTCTTTCTGTTCCAAGGAGATGCACTTATTGATGTGTATTGCTTCCTATTTGGTTTGGTAGAAAGCGAGAAAGGGAAATATTATGACAACTTCTGTGAATGGACGTTTAACATCTTTTTGGTGTTGAACAATAATAAAGAACAAAAGGAAACTTCATTCTTGGAGGACCAAGTCTGTGTGTTATTCAAGGAGTTTTGTTGCATCATCAAAACAGGGAGATCCGTTGTGTTAAAAACCACAAAGACGCTTGTCTCGGTGCAGATGATTAGTTCTATTTTGAGAAAAAATCCAATTCTTTTCGAAGTTTGTTGTTTCAAAGTAGTCTTATTTGTTGTGACTTTAATAATATAAATAGAATATCAATGGAATAGATGATGGGACTCAAATATAGAAACCCAAATTCTTGGAGGCAGTCTCATCTGATTGTTATCAGATGTGTTTTTGGTTACTGGATAACGCGATATATAACACGGGTGTCTTTGAATTGGTTCAACTTGTTGTAACGAAATATTCTTATGCCAATAACTTTGTTCGATTATTCACGAAATTGCTTGGGTTGGTCACAAAGGAAAAGGCGAAGGAGGTGCAGTTCACCTCGATCCAACGCATTTCCGAATATTTTGACAAAACAATCGAAAGAGGGAATTGGAAAGAAGTTGTTGTGCCGTCGCAAGAGTTCTGTAACTTCTGTTTGGAGATGTATGCAAGGTTTGGGAGTGATAACATCGAAATACCATTTGTGACATTTAATGTATCACTTGATTTGGGGAAGGTCATGGCGTCTCCCGATGGATGTATCTGTTGTGTGATGACAAAAGTTTTAATGAACGTTGCATCGTTTTTGCTTGCGGACAAAGAACGGCTTACAAAGAAAGAAGAGAACTACACAATACTTTTTGGAGCAATTCAACAACAAATGATCTACTTTGTGAACACTAAAACACCACTGGTGTTGTTAGAAGAATATTTGAAATTCATTCTTAACACAATTGGCGTTGTTTTGCCATTGCAACTGTATGAATATGCAGATGTCCTTCTGAGTGAATTAGTCAAAGCAACAAAGACAGTGCCACTCCCACAAAATGTAAATGGGCTGTTGGGGGAAAAGGAGATGGCGTTTCTGAAATGTGTTACAGACATTTTCACCAATTTTGGAGATATTTTCACACAAGACGAATTTCACACTGTTTTGCAGATGATTGCGACTGTGAAATCACTTTCGATATACTCTCCACTTATCAAGGAGAATAAGACAACATCGGTGATATTCAATTTTGCGTTTGAGAACAGCCCGACATGGCCCGATGAGACGTTTGTGCATTATGTTGAGACGTTATGTGTGATATGTGGTACCGTCATGAAAGAATATAGAAGTGACACGTTTAAAATTGAGAGGTACTACTTTGAGGAATTATACCGGATAGTATTTTCCCAAACAAAACGATTTGTACTCATCAAGGATATTGTGCGTCCGATATTTATTAAATGTGTAGAACACAATGAAGAGTGCATCAACTCATTCTTCTTTAACCAAAGCAACGAGGTGATCGAAAAAAAGAAACTCGACCCTTTCTTGCCAATCTTTTTAGAGTTGTTTTTCGACGTTTCGTTTGTGGTTTTCAATGACAAAACAAAGTCGAAGTTGGGGCTTCTCGACATATTGGTGACTCATGTCGACACTGTTGTCACCAAAAGCGATTTAAACAGATTTTTCGAGCTAGTGAAAACGTGTGCAACAAAAGACGTCACGAGTCAGGCGTTCACTTTAGTCAAAGAATTGTGTAAAGCGGATTTACTTCGCGAGATGGATAAAGCGCACTTAGTTTCGCTTTTTTCAGTTGTTCGAACCTATGTTGAGCAAAATGTTGAATTGAACATTGCATTAAGTTCCATTGAATTACAATGGAATTTGTTGGAAGGGGTACACCAAATGCCAGAGACGGTGATCACTAAACAAGAGAAGGAGGATGTGATGTATTTACTCTTCGACCAAATGCTTGAAGAAATTGAAGATGAACGATATGACATTTGGTTTTCTGCCGCACAGACACTTTTACGTGCGATCAATGATCAAGGAGTGTTTTTCAGTGATGAGGGGTGGGAGAAATTGATCAACGGGATATTTTACAGTGCATTTCAGAAGTTGAAAGTTATTGTCTTTCCGAAAGTGTTGAATATGACAGACATCCCACGCAAAGAAGATATTGAAAAGACTGAAATCTTTGGTCGTGTGACAACGGAAATTCGAAGGTGGAATGACTCGGTCACGGCAGATTTGTCATGTGTGATGCGGTCGCTTAAAGTGATGTTCAAGAAGTTTAAAGACGAGGATACAAAGAAACAAGTGTATCGATGCATCTTAGGGTTCACAGAATTTGCGTTTTTTAGACCGACCATTGCGGGAATTGAAATTGGGATGAAATACGTCTTTAAACTTGCACCAATCCTATTTGATGAGTCGTTGTTCATAACAGTTGACAACGCCCTTGTTCAAGATACGTTGGACGAAATTGAAATGATCAATAAGTTTGTGTTGTTCAACAATGGCGTCTTTACTGGAACTTCTGTTTTGTACTTGAACTTACTGCTCGACTTCTTTGTCATTGGAAATGGTGAAGTCAAAAAGCGAATAGTCTCGATGGTTTGTAAATTCTTCACTGTTTTTCCAGGAGACTTCTATGTTTCTGAAAGAGGCGGTACGCTAGTCCAAGAAAAGGTTTTGTCCCTTTTTGAAGTCATTTTGAAAGACAAAAATTTCAACGACATTCAAACAGACGTGAAAAAGTCCATTGAGTTTGCGTTTGATAGTATCACAGGTGTTGAAACTGTCAACTTACAAGCCAAAAAATCGAAATGGTGGGGAGTTAATGTATTATTGCCTTTATTGAAAGTGTTTGGACTTGATGATGAAGTGAGAGAGCGAATAGTCAAAGGGGTCGACGTTGTTATTGATTTGTTTAATGACGAGTTCAAAGTGAATGAAAGTGTTAAAAACGTGAACGAGAGTTACTCTGTTGAATCGTTCAAAAAAATGCTCACCACCCTTTTGGAGTTTTTAAAAATGTCTGAGAAAATTGGGCCGAACGAAGTCAAAGTGGTTGAGTGTATTTCAATAACACAACTCGAAAGGATGCAACACGACACTCTCATACTTTCAGACGCTGTTGTGTTTGGCGAAACAGAAAAGGTATTTAAAGAAATAGAAACCCATAATTTTGTTGCATTAGACACTGACGACTTGAGAGAACTCGTAGAGGTCTATGGCAACTCACTTGAATTCAAAGAGTATGGCAGAAACGTGTCGAAAGGAAGTTATCAGTGTTTGGTCGAAAACACCTTAACAATGAAAGATGTGGAACGTGTGAAAGTCATCAAGAACAAAGTCCGGGAACGAGTCGATGCTTTGGTCCAAGCGTATAATGAAGAGTCTACTAATTGTAGAATAGCAGAAGTGCTCTTTGTGATAGAAAGTGTTATTGAGAGGTTTATAGCAAGTGGTGACAAGTCGATGATGAGGTGGTCGTACATCAAATTGGTCGATTTAGTCCCTTCACCGAACCAACCGATACGGGCCGCAGTCCAAAAGGCACTTTCCAAAATTGGAGAGCAAATATTTGTCGATTGATGGTATAAGAAATTATACTAAACTATACCGTAATTCATTATTTTTGGGTTTTCTAATCGAGAGCAAGTCTTTGATATCCTTCAAATAAAAGTGAAAAATAAAAAACTCGATTTACAGATGTCGGTGGAAATTATCGAATGGAATGAAATAGCGGAGTGGAGTTGGGATCTGGCGGACGACTCGTGCGCGTTTTGTCAATCATCGATGGATAGTTGTTGTCCGTTTTGCACTCTCCCCGGCGAGTCATGTCCACCAACTGTGGGGGTGTGTGGGCACACGTTTCATAAACACTGCATCGACACGTGGCTTGAGAAAAACACGACGTGCCCCTTATGCAGGAAGCAATGGGCTGTTTCTGAGCCAATGGAAATCGAATAAAGACGACTACTTGTGAGATAATAAAATTTTGAACGAAAATTGGTATTGTTTTGTTATTCAGTGTTTCAAATACTAAAAAGAACTCGAAGAACTGAATAAGTAGACATGCACATCACACTGAAATGCGAAGGAAAAGAATACCCAATGACTGTTGAAGAGACAGACGACGTTATGACAGTAAAAATGCGACTGGACAATGTCATTGATCTCTCCGTTGACCGAATGGAATTGCATTTCAACGCCCTCATTATGGAGAAAAACGGGTATCCGATAGTGAAATATGGCGTAACAGACGGTTCCGAAATTGTGGTGAGGGTTTTACCAAACCAACTGCACACATCACTTCTCTTTCCTTCGGGAGCTATTTATAGTACCGCTGCAATTCTTTTAATCTTCTTCTCGACACACAACCACTTCCCAAGCTTGGAGGAAACTACTGAAGCCACAGCTCTGATCAGTTCAATTGTTCTTATCATTTACTTGGGCGTCAAAAGTATTCTTTCGTTGACGATTGATGTTCCTTCGAAAAGCACGATTGGTGTCTACAGAGCAATTGCGACTTCGATGTCTATTGTCGCCATCTGCATCATGTTGACGTACGACGTGTGTCACAGGAAAAGTGAGACATCGGTGCTGTCGACGATCGTTGGTGGAATTAACTGTATGAGCTGCTTGGCGGGGTTGTTGTATCACCACTCGTACTTTTCATCATGTTATAATCAGTACAACGAATTGGTTGACTTTCCACAAAACATATTGTACCGGTACATTTCCTGCCCAAATCTGTTGTTTGAGGCACTCTTCTTTACTGCATTTATGATATGCACATCATTCACAGTGACTTCCGTATTGTTGTGTGTTGCTGCTTGGACGTTT